ATTATTTTGTATGGCATTTTTGGACGCTAGTTCATTAACAAACGGGATAGCGTTTTCGGACGGAATGACATTCGACTGCTGACCTAAAATTTTGAGTTCGGATTCTCGGCTAGATTTCGTAGTATGTCCTAAGGTCTCCTGATTTACGTTTAGGAAAATAATTTTGGCATCCTAAGTACGTGTCACTGAAACAGATAAAATCTACCTAGAGAGGCTACTTACGTTGTAGTACAAAACATAAGTTATTTTCTATTATAAAAATGTCTGTCCCATCAATGTTTTGGAGCTGATGAAAGCTGGGGTGGTAATATAAGCACTGCTCCTGGTGAAACTCCAAGCTCTATCTCTTTTAGGGTATTCTAGATGGTGACATAATGTAATAGACACTAACAGCCTCTGCATTGATGGGTCGAAAAGAAAACATCGTTTTGTCAGAGACTAAGTGAGAGAGTGGCATGGGTATCAATGTATTCTTAGCATTTGGACGATTCGAATGAGTACATCATCATCATTTCCTGTTCTTGCCCCAGACATATGAGGGCAGATGAGGTAGAGTTCATCTGCTTCACAGACCTCTGTATATAAAATGAAACTGTGGTCAGCACTATACCCAGCCGCCTTTGTTTCCATAACTTAAGTTAGGTACCCATCATAGCTGATTTTAACCCGGATTCGAAATATATATTTGGAGAAAATGTTTTGGCCGAAAAGTGGCTGACATGGCATGAACTTATCCATAGCCAGGGTTTTATCAAATTTCAACTAATTATAGTAAACGGCTCAACAAGTGAAATGACGTGGGTTATAATTGACTAATTATTTTAGTCTTGTCTCAAATTTCTGCAGAGTTCACATAAATGTATGCTGACGTTCTAAAACATGAAATTTCCAATCTGCTAAAGTTAAAAATCTCTTTGTTAAATATTTATTTTGTAATTCTATTATAATCAAAACCGTGACTTTTTGTAAAAAAAATGTAATCATGGCTGAAAATGAAATTGAAATCGTGACAAATCTCGACGTTTTATACTTTCCTTTTTCTGGAAAAAAACCTCACTTTAACAATTTCCTCTGTATGTATGTATGTGAAAATGTGTTAACTACAGTACCTTTTAAGTTAGTTTGACATTTAATGAACTCTATGGATATGCTTCTTTTGACTTTTAAGCGTGTATTCGGTGATTGGAAATGGTACTTCCTCTATTGCCGTTTACCATTTATAATTTCGTAAAGTTTTTAGTTGTTGCCTCGTGCCTGTGTTTACGATGACTTCGATCTTTGCCCATATGAAGACACAATGTTTGAGGTGCTTTAGATATATGCCCCTTATGCCCATGTGAAGACAGTATTTTTGGTGTCTTCGATCTATATCACTATGAAGACACCATGTTTGATGTGTCTTCGATCTATGACAATCATGTCCGAACCAGATGGTGTGACGCTACTCGATGGCCCGTAGTGTGGGGGTGGTGGTGGGTTGAGGGTGCGTGTCGTCTATGTGTGTCGTTTAATCGCCAGTTTTGGGGGTCATCCATAATTGACGTCACACTTCTTCAACGAGTTTTACCCCGCACCACGACTTGACACCGTCACACGTAGTAATTTGTTTTAGAATACTTTTTTCATCCAACTTGATCAAGTAGGCCTACCTACTGTCAAAACTGAATAGCTGCAAAATAGCAATGCAGATGTGCTTTTTTGTTCTAAGAATTTTAAAATGAGAACCCGTATAAATTGATGTTAAATGTACACTATTTTTTATTTAACCAGTTGGCTCAAATAAACGAATACAATATGCAGCATTACAGTTTTATTGGAGTAACGTAGCCAAGACATTGAGAAAATACACAAGCGCACAGAAAGTAACAGCGATACTTCTCTTTTTAAATGTATGTTATGTGTAGGTACAGAGGGTCAGTAGAATCAACGTACAAATAGCAATAACACAACCTTACTGTTAACCCTGGGCGTGGCACCTTTTTAAAATATGTATTTGCCTGGGTATCTCCAATGTGACGAAACCATTCTAAAAAAGCGGTACGTATATAGGCCACATATTGGTCTTTGGGGTCATCCATAAATGACGTCACGCTTTTTTTGACGATTTTTACCTCCCCCCCCTCCCCTCCGTCACGCGTCGTCACAAAAATCTCAGACCCCCCCCCCCCCCCCACTGAAATGACGTCACACCTCAACCTACAACCCCCCTCAAAATTGCAGTTGAATTTTTTTTTTAAACATCGATATTTTTTCCAAAATCTTGTCTAACCTATTACATTTTATTAAAACAGTTATCTAAAACGCGAAATAACGTCTAAAATTCGTTTTCTAACATTGCTTTTTTATAATACAAAAATGTGACGTCGCAACATCTGAACCCCCCCCCCCCCCCCTTCCCCTCATCACACATCGTCACAAAATTACGGACCCCCCCTCCCCCTTACGAGTGTGACGTCATTTATGGATGACCCCTTTACATTGTGAGCTGCAACCCACATCAGTCAAAGTGTAAACCATACATAATAGCAAGGTTCTATTATATTAAAATTAGTCATCTTTACATAACACAATTTAACCTATCGACGGAAATAAAAAACAGTTTTCATTTAATTAAAAGGAAATTTCAATATTTAAAGCAGTAAACTACAAAAAATGTTTTGATAACCTGTAACATTAATTTTTAATCACGATTCCCTGTGAGTGGTACAGTAGAAAAAAACAACAATATTATTTGGCTGATAAAGTTAATTAAGAAATTTCTGCCACATTGCCGCTGATGTTTGCAATTCTCGGTGAGATTCCTGACGCCGTTTCCCCTCTGTCTCGAAACAGTTTGACATAAAGGTCAAGGACACGCTTGTTGCAAGTAAACGACAAAAAAATAAAAACACCCTGCAGTCCAGTCAGAAGTATCGAGATGATCCTGAAACATAAGAGTATTGTGGTGATTGTAACACAGACATTATCGTGATGATCCTAAAACAGGGGTCGGCAACCTTTTGTTACGCAAGAGCCAAAAGTTACAATTTACAAACTTCCCCAGTTTTTAAAGAGCCACAATATTTTTAGTTCAATATTCGGTATTTGATTAGGATTAGGTAATTAAAGTTGATTTGTTATTTAAAATAAATAGCTTTAAATATGAAATAATATTTATTTATATAAAAACAAAGACATGTTTTGCCAGAAAAGTAAAATTAGTAATCAAATAATATTATTCTAGGACAGGTTCGGCTACCTTTTGAGACATAAGAGCCAAGTTACAATTTTCAAAATTTCCCAGATTTTAAAGAGCCACTAACATTTTTATTTCAATATATTATTATTTGATTAGGACTAAGTAAATAAATGTGATTTGTTATTTAAAATAAATAGTTTTAAATATGAAATAATATTTATTCATATAAAAACATACACATGTTTCGCCAGAATAATAAACTTAATAATCAAATAATATAACTATAAGACTATCCCAGTCCACTTTAGAAGCTGTTAATTAATTATTTTTTTTACGGATAACACCGGCTCAGTAAGTTTCTCCCATTAGCCAGTCAGGCCTCAACAGGCTAACTTCGACTAACATGCTTGGATATCGGTTTGATAACAGTGTATGGGTCGCTTCTGTCCTTTGTTCTCACTAGGCTTATCGTCCACTCCACTGAACACAGGGTAAACTCGTACTCCATCGTACGATCAACAATAGGAAGCTAATAACTAAAAAAAACTACGTCACTCAGGTCAAATTAATGATTACTGACACATATGGAAATGCATTCTGAATAAAATAACATTCCCATTTAAAAACATTCGAAAAAGTCGGCACTTGGGCAGTGGCAAGCATTGAATTGTTGCCAGGGGGCTGTAGGACTGGGCCTGGTGCCCAAGCTGCTGTCAGCTGTCCGTATACTTTCTACTGCACATATTCTCAGTGTTCTCTGATAAGTGTTTTGATTCTGTTCAAAGTTGTTTTTGATATGAGTTTTGAAAATGAAACAATACAACTATCAATATTTTTGCAAGGTGCTGGAGAGCCGCATCTTGGAAGCAAAAGAGCCGCATGCGGCTCGCGAGCCGCAGGTTGCCTACCCCTGTCCTAAAACATACAGTATCAAGATGACCATGTAATATCTATATTGTTTTTGTTTATAGTTTTAAGTTGATCCTAACTTTAAAATGAAATCACTTAGATACATTATTAATGAATATAATAGAATAAACTAAATAGATACAGTTTGGGACAATTTTGAAACAAAAATTACCTTCATGACACTAAACGATTGAGTATCACGTGATTAATAAAGAGATAAGTTAAACATGATCATAATGATTGTAATGAATTATTATGGTAATTGTATCGATGATCCAAATGATGAATAATGATTATCAATATCCACAAGTAGAAGACGCATACCGAGATTTTTCGTTAAAATTCCCAAAGGATGATAATTTTTTAAAATTTGGGAACATGCATGTTTGCGTGACGCCATATGTGTAACGCATTACAACATAAAATGATTATATTCATTGCATATATATATATATATATATATATATATATATATATATATATATATATATATTGATATTTTATCTGTATCACAAGGAGTTTTTTTTTAATATAAATATAGGGAAAGAAGTAAAAAGCGATTTTCTCCTATGATTTGATGCTTATTACGTATGCGTACCGAACTTTGTTATCGCGAATTAGAGGTGTTGGGTAGAATCAAGTAAAAGTAAATTTAGAAGGTGTGGCTCGCATTAAAAATAAAATAAACACACACCTATATGTTTCATCAATAAAATAAAATTATGCATGACTATAAACTAGGCATGACTGGAGCCATGCCTAGCAGAGTCTGTGAATATGAATAACGATTAAAATAATTTTCTTTAATATTTGGCATTCTTTCAAAGTAGATCAATACAAGTTAATAAATAGGAGTACTAATAATTACCAAAAGTACTAGAATAAAATTTTTAATTCAAAATTTTAAAATAAATTACCACATAACATCCGAGTCCAGCATAAAAGCGATGAAGTCCAAGACAAATGTTATTCCTGTGAGGGTTGAGAGTTTGACGTAGACTAAAAACATCCCGTGAGTCCTTTGTGTAAAGTCTGACGCCTGGATCCGTCTCACTTTGTGAATGTTGTAGGTTGTTGCCGCGAAGAGTCCGCTGTTAACAACTGTAGCCATCACCACTGGTGCTATTAGGAACATCACTTCAACAACAATGAAAATATCTATTAATATATTTAACTGATCTTGATGAAAGTTTAGTAAAAAAAATTAAGTGTGTCCTTTTCATTTGGAATAGCTATGTTTGTTTTACATCAACCGCAGTTTGAAATGATTAAATCTAGTGTAACTAATTTATGTGTAGATACTTCTAAAAGAAGATTTATTAAGGAAAGGTAAACCCCTCAAAATAATCATTTAAATCAGAAAATTTCATTTTTTCAACTCTTATTGTTTTTAAAACTACATTACTTTCAGAACATTATTGAATAATTATTTTGTTTGTAACAACCTTGCTAGTATTTTTATAAATATTTTAAGTAATTAAGCTAACGACCTAATTTACCTATTTGTAGCATGATAAAGCAACCGAATAGAGTTTTAAAAATCTGTTTTAAATTCAAAGTAACAGGTTTCAAGTGCAACTTTTATAACTCTGTGGTTGATTTAAAAAAGTGTGATTTGTATACCTATTTTTTTTTCTCAGTTATCGTATATTTTCTCTATATCTCTTTTTTTTCTCTTCAAATGTCTCTTTTTATTTAGATAGTACCAGTTAGGCACATTCATCTAAAAAAAAAACTGGAATATTCATCTCAAAAACTATTTGAGATGATCTTTAAATAAATGGGATGAAAATGTATTATAATTATGTAAGTTCTTCCCTATCAGCTGAGATTGCTTTTTTATTATACATCCCTTGCAATTTGAAATTATTCTACTGAATGTAAATTCTTAAAGAGTAGATATATTTATAAAAAAAATTATAAATATACCAAACAGAATGATATAAACTGATCTAAGTCCCTTCCGTGGCTTATCAACTAGTGTACCCTGACGACTTCCAAGGCTAAACCATTGACATTGTAAACTCCAGAAAGGTCAAATAAGCTGTAAAGATCTTTGGTATTCGTCAGACGAAAGCTACCATCCTAGTGCTTAAGGGTGGGGATTGAACATAATGTCCGAGATCTTATATCGTAGAAAATACCTTACTACAGAAACCCAGACAGTGAGGATTACAAACAACTCAGACCTGGGATAAAATTAGATCTCACGATGGAGGATTTATGAAACTTGTGGTAGAAGACAATATATATGGGAAACTACCAGATGGATTACATAAACTGGAAAATTTCATCACGAAGAATAGTTAGGCTCTACCAGGGGATAGGTGAACTAACTAGCCTAGGAGGGGGATGCATGGAAATCTCTTTTGTCTAAGGAGGGACGACACGCTAAAATTAATGTTTATACAATTTTGTTTTATTTTTAAAACAATTAATAACACAAATTTATTGCATTTTATTCTCTCTTTCTGATTGACTTTTTGCGCGGCTTCAGTTTTACTTACCCACGGAGGAATTCGAGTCTATAAAACAACCATTGAGACCGTAGCCAATGACGTCCCCATCTGACTCTATTAAAGACTTGACAATCACAGCACCGACAATCACCAAGGGCGGCAGAAACGAGATGACAAGTTTCCTCATCAGCAAGTGGTTTTGATACGGGTCAGAGTTCATGTTTCGTGTGGACGCGCTGAATATCTTAAACATCTGGAACGTGCCGAGGAACATCCACATCAACATCCAAAGCCACATGAAGTGCGAGGCCACGCCCATTGTAGTACAAATAATTCCAAGTTGTGTTCTGTCAGAAAAGTATAAATAGTATATTATATCTTTAGTTTGGAAAGAAAAGTATGTGTATATATATATTTATTATATATATAACATATATATATATATACATGATATATTGTCTGATTGAAGAATGTAAAGATGTATAATGACGAAACTCGAAATAACGCTAATTAGTAACTTAGTTTTGTCTGAGGAAAATAGATCGAATTAAAATTAATTAATTAATAACAAAAAGCAATTTAAAAAAAAAACAATGAATAATTTATATTTTTAGGAATATATTTAATTATGATATAATGTAAGTGAAAAATAATAATTCGTTTGCTTTCATGTATGTTCTAGCACAGAAAATAGTAAAGAAAAAAATTGATGTTTTTAAAAGAGGAAAACATATACTGGGGTGTGGCTTCTTTTTAGATGTGTATAGTAAAGTTGCCTTTCTGATCTGACTTGTCACGGGGCAGGTGAAGTAGAAATCATCTGTTTCTATGACCTCAACATTTCAAATGGTTTATAAAAGAAAAAAAAACATGTTGGCTGGGGCGAGGGTGAGTGATATTGAAATCTTCAAACTAGCGTAACGTCATTAATGAATCACTCATAAAGTCAATTACCTGAAGGATAACGTAAAATCTAGTTGTTCTTTAAAAATGTAATTTGTCCTCTGCCTTAGATATTATTTACGAATGACGAATCTTTCTACATTACATTGGTAAACAACATCAATGTTGAAACTTACATGTAAGCTTTGGCCATGACTATGACTGTAGCTAGCAGTAGACTCACACACAACATGATGTTGTTTTTACCAGCCTCGCTCCGAAGCTCAGAAAACATGGCGTAGGTGACAAGGGTCAAGGTCAGACACGTCCCAGATAGAATCATAACGGTTTTCATCATCACTTCTCTTAAAGCTCGAATATTTAAGGGGAAAGCATCGAATTGTTTGAATATTTTCAAATTTTTAATTTTTTTGTCTAGCAGCTCAGTGCAAATCCTTAACTCATCATTTCCTACTTTTATGTTAGAGAAGTCAATGTTGTCTGATAAGTAAATCATAGCGCCGTTAAAATCTATTGTAATCAAAGTAGTAGGTGGATGCGTATTATATGTCGTGGATGTTGTATAATTAGTTTTATTTAAAATAATATGAGGACAAAACGAAATTTCGTTTAAAACTTCAGGTTGGAAATAGTTTGAAAAATTCCCGTTTGATATTATCATTTTGTGACATTGTACATTCTCATCCCCCTTACATGTTTCGCTGAAGTTGAAGGGATTTATTGGAACAAAGGGAAACAATTTAACAGAATTGTTTTGATCCAGTTGTAATGGGAAGGAATCCAAGAACATTGAGTGAAGCGAACGAAACTGGTCACTCATCACTACGTAAGGATATTGAGTTATGATCTGGAGCCAAAAATATAAGATCTTGTCACTACTGTTCATAACTCGAACCACCTCCATTGAATATTTTGGTTGGATTCGCAACCAATGTAGTTTTATCTGTAAACAAAAAGTTGCCATGATTAATAAGGGATTATGTTGTTTCATAACTATATTATTTTGTTGGAACTTAATGGTTGATCGGTGAATGAAACGTTTGATGAATTAAACACACTTTAAGAAAAACCTGTAGGATTTTCATTTTCAAACACATGATGTTTACCAAAGTATAATACACCAGCTGTATTCCTATGGTTTATCCCCCAACAGTGGCGTGGCTAGGTCGGGTATCACCCTTTGAGACACTTCGTGGTGTTACTACCCCCCCCCCCCCCCTCAAAGAAAAAGTATATATATATATATATATATATACATATATATATATATATATATATATATATATATATATATATATATATATATATGTGTGTGTGGGGTGTGTGTGTGTGTGTATCGGCCTACATATACGTGTATTAGCTTTAATTACTGCATACGTAATAGTAACGATGTTTATCTTTAGTCTGTTAATAATACAGTTGAATGTAGCAATGATTTCTTTATAGATAGCAAGTTTACGTCACGGTGTCACCCCCAACCTTTTTAAATAGTTGTCGCCAATTATTATACAACAAGCCGACCCGCAGCGTATCATACGCCGCTATTTAGTTGTTTTATTTTCTATTTTTCAGTAATTCATAATTTTTGAATTCGACTGTACCAATGCTGCCACTTAATATATTTGCTTTAAAACACTATTAGTATCTCGTTAAGAACGGTAATGCCCCCTCCTTTCCCCAACCCCTCCCCCCCCACTGTGAAAGAAACCACCTATTGGTTACCTCCCCTAAGTTAAAAATTGCTTCAAACTAAATTATCTGCCCCTAATAGCCGTCACTAAACACGGCTCTACTATTGTAAACATTTAGCGTGAACCACAGCTCACCAGACCATGTAGGGGTGGGGTGGTAGGGAGCGCGCTTACAGTTTGGTGTTTTCTAGCGTCTCCAAGAAGAGAATTATATATATAGATATAAAACTCTTAAAAGCTTATACTACGTAAGATGTAAGAAATAAAGGATACCTGACGTCACAACGTTTTATACATATACCTTTGTATATCAAAGTATAAAAATAAAGAAAAAAACACTACCTTAGTGCTAAAAATGTCTGTGAGGTTCTGTAACACACTCTCACTATACATCATTGCCAGTTGATTTGGATGGTCAGCTTGAGGTATCAAAAACACGCCAATTTGGAAAGAAATGTTTTTGTAGTAACTGAACCTGGGATGGCAGGTCCTGTTATGTAGCAGTATCCCATTGATACACTGGTAGGTCAAACATGTGTTCTACGAAATAAACATTGACATTGTTAGAATGTGAAATTTAACAAAGGGAATTGTGATAACATTTTAGATCACCTAACACCACGTAGTTATGTTATATTTACATAAATATTTCTAAAACAACCAACCAATATTTCCAGAATACCCCACCCATATTTCCAGAACACCCCACCCGTATTCCAAGAGCATCCCACCCATATTTTAGAGCACCCCACCCATAATTCTAGAACACCTCACCCTAAACTATAAACATAAACTCTAATTAAAACAAAAACAATAAGGGTAATCACATTCTTGTGAAGATAGGAGCTAGTTGCGTCTTTTAATAGAAAAACAATTGAAAAAATATAATGTCCAGTAGTCAGCTTATTCATCCTGTTTTATGTAAAAAAATATTTTTTTTTCCTAAAATACAATAACACAGATACAAGTCAATGAAGCATAAACATTTAATTCAACCAGCCTTTCTCCTAAAAAAAATATTTTTTTTTAAATTTGAAAGAAACTATTATATCTATAATTTAATCATTATATTTTTGTTCACGCCACGGTAGTCTGTTGACTGCTGCAGTAAGGTCAAATTATATGTATTTAAAATATGTAAAAAAAACAACTGCGGAAAAGTAGATATATGATCTTACATGTGGTGCAGTCCATTCGTGTACAGAGCAAGTTTCTGTTTTTTTCTTAATGTTTTGAAACATTAGCGCATCAAACGGCACAAAATCCGTACCGCAAGGATTATATTTATTGGGATTAGCCTGTAAAAACAAGAAAAAATATGCAAATGCAAAACTTATATTAAGTATGTAGGTAGAAAAATGTTTTAATATATATACTTATGTAAAAAGACAAGGATAGAGCTCATAACAGTGCAAATATTTAGGTTGCTTGAGAATAACCCCCAGGGAAAGTTAAAGAGAGGGAGCACAGGATAGACCTGGAGGCGGAGTCTTTTCGAAAAACTGAAGCTAACAGAGATGGCTAGGGAGGCTGCAAAGTCTCGAGTTCGAACCCTTGGACAGATGAGGCTGCTTAGCTGGGGAAAGCCACAACTGCTGACTTGTAGTTTTTTCTTGGTATAACAAAGGCTTTGGAGCAAATTTAAAAAATGCAGAATGAAATCGGAGCTTGAATGGCGCATAACCAGTAGAATCTCTTCCAACACTAAAACTAAGATCCAAGAAGAAGAGAGGCCTGGGACCGGACACAATGGAAGGTTATGGTTGAGGCTCTATGCTCCGAAATGTGTCGAGAGGAAATTTTCAAAATTAGCACCCCATTATCCTACACGATGTCAGGTCAGTCTATCTGTCTGTTTGCCTATCGATCATGATATCTCGAACATAGGATGCATAGTTTGATAGTCATGATTTGAAATCGTGACATAATTATCATATATATTTGTATATATATATATATATATATATATATATATATATATATATATATATATATATATATATATATATATATATATGTTGTTATGACGGTAGTCAAAATAGTGATAATTTTTAAAAAAATCCTTTTCCGCCAAAAACATAGGAAAATGCCAAAGTTACGGCTGTTCAGTGTGTATCTATGAAAAAAGATATTTAGTTTGACGTATTTAGAAAAAAAGTGACTAATTTAGACACAATTTTATAAACTATGTGAAGAAGACAAGTGTCACAATAATCCTAATAAGAGAACACGATACATACAATGTTGCACATCACACAAAATAGGTTTTTAAAGACCATGCTGTCCTTTATCACCAGCATATGCATATACACATTCTCATTAACTTCTTTGCATGCCTCGTTAATATCGAAACCATAATTAAGACTTGCCGAATCTTCGTTACAGCTGTCAATAAACGTTTTTCTGAAAATAAAATCGTTATTTGAAAGATGTTATTTTTTTTACTAAATTTTCTCCACCAACTAAGTTAACTAATCATTCCATCCAATATGTAGACCTACATAAATAAAATAGTCGTAGAAAATCCAAAACATTTATAGCATGACGGGATCCAAACCCACCACTTTACACGGTCCAGAACAGAGTTTCTTTCAGGCATCTCTTCGGGGGGGCGAAGCCCCCCCCCCCCCGAAAAATTTTTACCGCCCCCCCGAACGAAATGAAATTTATATAATTTATATAGAAAATATATACGTTTAACAGTGTCCGCCCCCCCCCGAAGAAAGTTTACCGCCCCCCCCCCCCCTAAGATTTCAAGTGCCCCCCGGAGAAAAAAGTCTGGAAGAAACACTGGTCCAGAAATGCCTCGCCTGCCGTGCATGTGGTCAGAAATGTAAATATGTCTAAATAAAGTATTCACGATCATGACTATTATTTCTCCATTTAAGTGCATCTATAATAAAACGCTGGTGGTAGTGTGTCAGTCAGTCATTGCTATAGGGTTTGTTTATATAACGAAAAATAATAATAATTTTAATAATAATAGGATCGAAAAACGTCTTTGAATTTTGCTATGGGAGGTAATTAAAAAATAAATTTAACTCACGCTAATAAAAAAATGTGATTGCAAAATCTCCAAGAGGGCATTATTGTTGGAATAATATAATTAGCGAAATGTGAATGCAAATTCTGTAGACATGTAAGAGGACACTATTGTTTTAATATTACAATTAGCATGGATTGATAAAAGGATATATTTTATTTATTTTAGTCACCGAACGTACTGTTTACCAACTTTATACACGAGCCATCACGTTCATTTGGCGCGCAATGGTTTTAACTCATGAACTCTATTGTGAATTTTTTTAAATTTAAAGAACTGAAAAAAAGCATAAATTAATAAAGTGCTATATGGTAGGTAAAACACGGATATTTTAAATATTGCTTTTTATTTATTTTATACACTGAACGTATTGTTTACTAATTATTATTCTATCTTTCGGTTTGTGGACAAGCTGGGTTTTTATAGTCATTTACTGAATCGAGCGCGTCCGACGGCGGTATGTTTTCTTTAGAGTTTGTATTGTGTTTGTGTTGTGTTGCGTTTGTATTTGTGTTGTGCTTGTGTTGTGTTCACATATTAAACAAATATGTTGACATTACCAAAATACTTTACGTAATCTAGAATCTAGATCTAGCGTCTGCGTTTAGCTTTTGCGTAGATCTATAATCTAGATCTAATCTAGATCTAGAATCTAGAATCTCTAGAGAATCTAGAATCTCTAGATCTAGATCTAGAATCCAAATAGATAAAGTACATTTTATAAGTTTAGGTCGAGAAAATTGTATTGTATAGATCTATATT